TGCTTTTTATAGGGGAGCACCACCAGCTTCGCTCCATGAGGCGCTCACGCCACAGCCATCTGCTTTGCTTCAGCACATTCCTCCTTGTAATTTTTTTAGCTCTGTAACTTTCCTTCCTAACCGTTCTGTAGCTGCTGCTTGCACACGGACTGTCTCCACTTCGTAATTGCCTCAAAACAGGTTGTCTGAACCTTCAGCACGGCGCAGGAGAACAGCCTAGACATGCTGAAGTCAAACAGGCCTCCAGGAATTCTGGCTCCATTTAAAAATAACCATCAGGGCGGAGAAATGCCGCAGACAGCTGTATGCATCGCACCCATATATCGTCCCCCTTCCTTCTGGTCCGCCAGCACCAACTGCTCCAGAATTCAGTTCTGGGGGGTGCTAATGAATTGAAATCTAGGGAGGGGGATGTCTTATGCTTCTATAAGAGGCTCAATTATAGGATTTTAATAACCCTCTGCCCAGCCCACCCTGCTTTCCATTTGGATCCCACATGCCCACCACTGTGCAAGGAATTGTTTTAAGCCCAGACCAAGCTCCTCTTGCCTTACAAAAAGCCCCAGATGAAGCATGAATGTGGGACAAAATGGTTCCAATGTGCTCACAAACCCCATTCCCTGCTGCTCACTTACACGCTTGCCAGACAGACAGGGGAGATAAAAATGGTGGTAGCAAGTTTCTTTTTACAGAGGACGGCCACTGTTTCCACTGGAATAATATTGACTACAAAGATATTTGCATTATGGTAGTACCCGGAAGCTCTTAATCAGGTTTGAGGCTTCACTGAGCAAGGCGCAGCACAGGCACACAGGAAAACGCATTCCCTGCTTTCAAGAGCATGCAAATTAAGACCAGATGCAACACGTGGGTGTAGCAAACTCCAGGACAGAGGAGAGGGGTTGTAGTGGTAAGAACATGAAGTTACATGGGCTGACAATGCGCCCAGCTTGGGGGGTCCATTTCCAAATCACTTGAGGTCGCTTTGCCTTTTGTTTACAGCACGATATAAATGGAGAGACTAGCTAGGGCACTCTCTCCCCCTCCCCAGGGTGGGGTGTTACGGTTAATGGGGGCGGAGGGAGGCTGCAAGCCAGGCTGCTGGAAGAATTACAGCAAAGTTCTCCAGAACATTGGAATTATTCTTGTTCTAGACAGCAGTCGCAGAGCAAGGTCTGCAGCCACCCTCTGGCTGAAGTCTAGTGCGGGACAGGAGTTAGCTGGTATTTGCGCTCTTCCTGCTCCTGGGTATGGCTAACTGTCTTATACAGTGTGAGCATACGAATATTTGGTCTATCTGGCCCCAATCAAGGCTTTTTCTTTCTAAGAAGCTAAAACAGCAGCAAAGACTCCCCCAAATATCTGCCACTCCCCAGCCCACTCTGTAAAGGTTGCTTTGATTCCCTGTGTGCTGTGCATTCATATTGCTGGTAGGGTAGGCTCAGGTACAGCGGTGAAATCCTTCAGGGCCTGATGGGCAGCCACAGCCTTACACGATAGGTCATTCCATCTGTTCTGACCCAGGCTGGCAGCGAATGAAAATTGTTACCAGCTGACCATTGTTCAATGAGTTGATCATTGTTCATTTCCAGGTAGAAGTGCCCTGGCCACAACTGGCCCCTTGTTCACAGGGAAAACCAAGGTCTGACTGGATGGTGGAGACTGTGCTTGTCTGTGTGTGGGAGGAGAAGCGCAGTAGTGTAGCAATGCCATGCCCGCAGTCCCCAGCGTAGTGGGTCTGGTGTCTTGGAGGAACACGCACAGCACTTGGGATATGGCTACGCTGCAATCAAAGACCCGTGGCAGGGCTGCTGCTGGCCCAGGCCAGCCGACTTGGGCTCTCAGGGCTCGGGCGGCAGGGCTATAAAATGGCAGTGTGGACGTTCCAGCTCAAGCTGGAGCCTGGGCTCTGACACCCCGCGAGGGGGGAGGGGCTTAGAGCCAGGCGCCAGCCCATGCGTCTACAATGCTATGTTTCGCCCCAAGCCCCATGAGCCTGAGTCAGCTGACCTGGGCGCTGAGACTCGACACCACAGGGTTTTTATCGCAGTGTAGACGTACCCGTGAATACGCTGCAGTCTGAGAAGGGAGAACCAAACTCTGCCTTCTCTCCTCTGTCCTGCTCTTCCTCTGCTTTTCACCCTCCCATCGCCTCTATCTTCTCGTCTCCACACTTCCCCCCTTTCTTCCCTCACTGCCCTGGGCTTTTGTTCCATTGATGGAAAACATGCCCCGTCAGCCTGTGACAAACGGCACGTCGCGCGGGGCATCGGCTGGGGAATCCATTCATCCGTTTCTCCTCTCAAACAAAGCTCTCCTCATCACCATACCAGGGAGGGAGTCGGTACCACTTGGCAACCAAACGCCTATTAAGTGCACTTGCGGGAAGGGTTCCTGTTAGCTCCTGAGGAGTCGGAGGGCCGGGCAGTGGGTAGGGGAGATGGAGACCCGGCTTTGGGGGTGAGGGCCAGGGGAGTCAGGGTTTTGTCTGGCATGGATGGTTGTGAGAGGGAGGTTGGTGCTCCCCTCCCTTCAGTTAGCTGTTGGAATTTAACAAGGGGATCCCAGAGGCTCTCGCCAGGAGGTTGCAGAGAGACTCCTCCCTTCCCCTACTTCTATTCTCCCCCTCTCTCCCCTGTTTGTTCCCAGCTCCACATCTTCCTACCCTTCCATCTAAAGTGCTTATTATTATTAATGTGTATTACGGTAGCACCTGCGAGCCCCAGTCCTGGGCCAGGACCCCATTACGCTAGGCGCTGTACAGACATGGAACAAGACAGTCTCTGCCCCACTGAGCTTCCATTTAGGGAGACCACATAGAAAGAGTGAAAAATCGGGATGGGGGTGGGAGGTAATAGGCACCTATATAAGAAAAAGCCCCAAATATCAGGACTGCCCCTATAAAATTGGGACATCTGGTCACCCTACTCCCATTACCGATGTCTCTGAGCCCCTCACAGTTGGGAATGTGTTTTGCCTCACTGCTCTCCTCGGGGCAGGGTGGGGCTGTCGCCCCAAATGGAGCAAATAAGTAAGCAAACAATTTGCAAACACCTAGAAGATAATGTGATAAATAGCAGTCAGTATGAGACACGAGAACAAATCGTGTCAAACCAACGTGATAGCTTTCTTTGACAGGGTAACAAGCCTTGTGGATGGGGGAAAGCGGTAGTTGTGGTTTAACTTGTCTTTAGTAAGGCTTTTGGTACTGTCTCACATGACCATCTCATAAACAAACTAGGGAAATACAACCTAGATAGAGCTACTATAAGGTGGGTGCATAACTGGTTGGAAAATCGTTCCCAGAGAGTAGTTATCAGTGGTTCACAGTCATGCTGGAAGGACATAATGACTGGGGTTCCACACGGACCGGTTCTGGGTCCGGTTCCGTTCAATGTCTTCATCAGTGATTTAGATAATGGCATAGAGAGTACAATTATAAAGTTTGCAGACGATACCAAGCTGGGTGAAGTTGCAAGTGCTTTGGAGGATAGGATTAAAATTCAAAATGATCTGGACAAACTGGAGAACTGGTCTGAAGTAAATAGGATGAAATTCAATAAGGACAAATGCAAATAACTCCACTTGGGAAGGAACAATCAGTTGCACACACAAAATGGGAAATGACTGCCTAGGAAGGAGTCCTGTGGAAAGGGATCTCGGGGTCATAGTGGATTACAAGCTAAATATGAGTCAACAGTGTAATGGTGTTCTGCACTACTCTGCACTGATTAGGCCTCAATTGGAGTATTGTGTCCAGTTCTGGGCGCCACATTTCAGGAAAGATGTGGACAAATTGGAGAAAGTCCAGAGAAGAGCAACAAAAATGATTCAAGGTCTAGAAAACTTGACCTATGAGGGAAGATTGAAAAAATTGGATTTGTTTAGTCTGGAAAAGAGAAGACCGAGAGGGGACATGATAACAGTTTTCAAGTACATAAAAGGTTGTTACAAGGAGGAGGGAGAAAAATTGTTCTTCTTAACCTCTGAGGACAGGACAAGAAGCAATGGGCTTAAATTGCAGCAAGGGCGGTTTAGGTTGGACATTAAGAAAAACTTCTTAACTGTCAGGGTGATTAAGCACTGGAATAAATTGCCTAGGGAGGCTGTAGAATCTCCATCATTGGGGATGTTTAAGAGCAGGTTGGACAAACACCTGTCAGGGATGATCTAGATCATACTTAGTCCTGGCATGAGTGCAGGGGACTGGACTAGGTGACCTCGCAAGGTCCCTTCCAGTCCTATGATGCTATGATTGCAGGGATGGGGAACTGGGGCACGAGGGACTTGCCCGCGGTCACATAGGAAGGCTGGGGTAGAACAGGGACTAGTACCCCTGTTATAGACTAGTGCTCTAACCACTGGGCAGCCCATCCTCTCACCCCCTCTGCTTCCTGCTTTCCTGCCCTGCCCTTCAGTGCTTCCTCGGCCTTTCCCTGGGCTCCATGGGGAGCATCTGGGAGAGGCTTGGTGCAGACCAAGGCGGGCTCCTGGCTCCACGCCCTCCCCTGGCCGGGGAAGCGACTGGCGAAGGCAATGGCGATGTAGGGACCGCCCCAGCAGCAGCCGAAGTGAGCTCGGGAGCCCGGGAGGGAGGGGAGGGAACTCGCCCAGCCCACCTTAAGCCAGCAACGTAGGGCTGATTCAGGCAGGCAGGGATGACCTTAGAAAAACAAGTTTGCGCGGAGCCAGGCCGGGCCCCGCCGCACCAGCCCGGCAAGCTACCTTAAATCGGGGCTGGGCGGAGAGCCGGGGGGTGGGGGGTGTTCTCGGCACTGGCGCTCCCAGTCCTGCCTGCTAGGCAACGCGGGGAGGCGGGTGTCTGCACAGCTCCAGCCGCAGCAGCGGGGAACCGGAGCGGGAGCCGGGCTGCAGGTCCGCGCGCTGCCTCTCCCGGGGGGCGCCCAGGGCGCGCGGCTGCAGCGCCCCGGGACCGAGCGCTCCCCCTGCGGCGGGCTGCCCAGGTGCGCCCCGGCCGCCGCGGGGGCGTTGCAGCGGCGGGTTCGCAGGGGTCACCGCGCCCGGGATTTGGACCCCGCCGGGGCAGAACCCAGCGCCTGCCGCAGGTGAGTGGCAGCTCCCCGGGCAGGATCGGCCCGATTCCTCTTCCTCCTTTCGGGCTGGGGCCCCAGCGTAATTTCCTCCTGCCGCTGCCCGGCCCCGGCCCCGGCTCTTCACGCAGCACTTCTCCTTTCTGTCCCTGCCAGGCGCCAGCGATGGAGGCTGTCGCCAGCCGTTCCCGCTGCCCTGCCTGCTGGCTGCCCTGGCTGCTGCTCCTCGCCCTGCACGGCTGGCAAGGTAAGTGCTGCTGCCTCTCACCTGCTGCTGGGTACTCCTGGCACAATGATTGTTGGGTCCTGTCTGGATCCTGGCCCCCGCCCCCCTCTCTTCCTTTCCCTGGTGTCTGGTTCCCCTCAGCCTCCCCCTGCAGAAACCTTTTCCAGCCAGGAGTGTCTGCTGCACAATATAAATGCGTATTGACCTTTAACTACCGCAGCACTACTGCAGGGGAGGGGGCCATAGATGTGAATTAAAGGGGCGAGGGGGTTGTAACTGGGCTGCTATGGGTGGTGGTAGCCCGGGCTCTGGCCCCCTCGTTCCGCCTGGGTTCTGGGAAGCCCAGGATTCCACCGTGTAACTTGGCTCATGGCTGTGGTTTGTTTGATTTGCTCTGATCCATGGATTCTGCTACAAGGTAAACACCTCTTCCTTGCCTTGGTGAAAAAGGGGCACTAGGGGCTGAATTCAGCAGGTCTGCACTGGCACATCGCTCGTAGGGCCGATGCGAGCTCGTCAGCAGATGGGTGTACATGGTGAATTTGTCAAAACTGCACAAATCTGCCATTCAGGCAATGTACGGAATGGGTGTCATTTACACACCAACGGTCAGCATGATAGAAGAGCAACTAAGGGCATGTCTGCAGAGGAAGTTGTTCCTGATTAACACCCTGTGTGGATGCTTTTAGTCTAGAATAAGAGTTAATCATGAATAGCTAATCTGCTTTCAATTCACACCCTATCTTATTCCAGATTAATTTTCATGAGCCCGTGTAGGAGGCTGTAAAATGGGCACAGTTGTAAAATAGCTGTTTTCTTACCCACTGCTGGTAGTTGCTTTTCTTGGTCCTTAACCTCCTTCCTGCACTGCGTGGTGTGCAAATCTCACTCGCTTTGCACAATCACTGAACGTCAAATCAGGGTAACTTCTGCCACTGGGCATCAGTTTTCTAGTCAAACTACACCCAACATGAAGTTTGCATCACAAGGAAAGTTGCACACACTGACGCCAAGCTCCGTTTGACCCTGTCTAGGTTATGTCTACACTCCGGACCTTACAGTGGCACAGCTCTGCCACTGTAAGTTCTCCTGTGTAGCTGCTCTATGCCGGCGGGAGAGAGCTCCTCCGCTAGCACAATTAAACCACCTCCAACGAGGGGCGGTAGCTCTGTTGGTGGGAGCAGCTCTCCAGCTGACATAGCGTTGTCCACACCGGTGCTTTTGTCGGTGAAATTTACGTCCGTCAGAAGGATGTTTTTTTCCACACCACTGACCGGCAAAAGTTTTGCCGACAAAAGTGCTAGTGTAGACAGAGCCTAATCTAGGCATTTACACGGTGTTCGCCCCATGGTATCTGAGCACCAATCAGGGCTCCTGGCTCTGCCAGATGATTTGTTTAATGCTTGCAAAAGGCTCTGAGATCTATGATGAAAGGTGTGATTGTGGTGCATCTGAAGTATTTATTTATTTTTCCTGCCGTTTGCATTTCCCTCTCTTCACTCCCTTCCCTCCCTCAGTGTCAGTAAACCTCCCTCCTCCACCAGGAAATGAGCCCTGCGGCGGCTGCTTTCAATGGTGCTTCGCTTGCAGCTGAAATGCTGTCAGTAATTTTATTTCTATCTCAAGATTAAGCAATTGGTTAACCTGCCTTCTCTAATTCATCTAAGGCCACAGTGCGACCAAAGTCAAGGCCTGCATTTCATTGGAAGCCCTCACAGGAAAGATGTTGGAGTAACCAGCTCCTGCTAATGTCCAATCACCGCTAATGCCAGTCCATGAGCCAGAAAATGCCATTGACCATCGACTAAAAAAAAAAAAGAGAGAGAGAGAGAGAAGCTCTCTAGGCTGTCAGTTACCAAGAGGGGTTCTGTGTATCAATAATAAGGGCAAAATTTTCAGGTGAAAATGTACACTTCTACCCCGATATAACGTGGCCCGATATAACATGAATTCGGATAACGTGGTAAAGCAGTGCTCCGGGGGGACGGGGCTGCGCACTCCAGCGGATCAAAGCAAGTTCGATATAACGCGGTTTCACCTATAACGCGATAAGATTTTTTGGCTCCCGAGGACAGCGTTCTATCGAGGTAGAGGTGTATGTGGGGTTCTTTCCATGCTGACTGACCACTGCTGTCTAAGGTTGATGGGTTCCAGGGAGGGTTGCCACAAAGAGGTTTCTGAGGGGGTGGGGAAAAGGCACAACAACCCAGAATATTTCTTTCCTGCAAAAAAGTGGCACTGGCTGATCACTGGTAAAGCTGCCTTCGAATTAGAGATTTGCCAAATCAAAGCCATGACTTCCCCCCACCTCTCGGACACCGATTTTCCTGAACAAGTGGGCTGGTTGAGCTCCGGGTCCCATTCCTCTAAGTTCTCCCTGTGTAGGAGAGTCAGATAAACGTTTCTGTGGTTCTGGCAGTGCTGGGGAGACAGCGGGTCACAAGTAAGAGTTGTTGAAGCAGATGACATTACCCTCGTGAACTACACACACTTCCTGCTGATGTCACCCACGTGAAATACACCCTTCCTGAAACCCACCAGACGCTGTCTGGGGCTCCATATAGCGCTGTGTAAATATATCTGTGGCTTTCTTTTCCTTTTTCTGAGTTGCAAATTCCATGCTCATTTATAGCAGGCACCTGTTCATTTTCTTAACTGGGTATCCCCATTGGGGGGGAATTTTAAGCATTGTACCTAGTGAATTATTTTTGGACTCCTGCTCCAGTTGAAATTGTCTCATTCCAACAAATGACAGTGACGCTGACTGCAAATATTCAACCCAGCTGCAGATTTCTTTACGCATGTGAAATCCTTTCTCTGAGTAACGCTCACAATGCTCCTTCCAGTGTTACTTTAAATTGCTTTTGAAGAAAAGCTATTTTTGTGGGCAAGAATTTAGGCAAGCGCTGCAGCTCGCCTGCAATTAAACCTTAACCCATTCCAACCCACTTAGCATCAAGTTACTCGAAAATGGGGAGAAGGAAAAAATTAATCACTCACCAAACCGGAAATTTTAAACCACAAATAACAAAAAACTCACTGCTCTCCTAAGCCAAGCAAAAATCAAGGTAAGGATAGACGATGGGGAGCACGTGCCATGGGACGCTATGCATGCTGCTGCCTCCTTGCTGGGCTAGGCGCATCGTAATTCACTCTAGCCTTCGCCACTTCCCCCCTCCCATGATGAATTCTACACTGTACAAGTTCTGGGCCGGCGGTATGAGGATTTCCACACTTACAAGGCTATTGCCTTACGTGATGAGATGTAGTGCTTTTAAAAACAACATTTCGCTAACCCTGAAATTTAACATCATGGTAAAGTAGATTGCAGCAGATGAGCATTAAGGGTCCAATCCTGCGGGGATCAGCACACACTTAACCCTCCTTAACTCATCCTTAATTCTAATTTTTAAAGCACCTTGCAGGATTGGGTCCTAAAACACAAGTTGCCAGTTTCCTAAGAAAATGGGTTTTCTAAGAAACTGTTCAATGCGGTGCCTGGGAAGTGATTTGTTCCAAGAGGAACAGCTTGTCTTTCGTTTGTGGAAGTTGGCTGTGGAAATGATCTCTTTTCCATGTGTGTGATGCGGCAGAAGGAACTCATGATCTTGATCACTGTACAGTATGTGTGTCACATGATCAGCGTCTGAGTCAGGAGCTGTGTTGCACAGACTATTAGAAGAAACTTTCTGAAACCTTCCCACTCAGTGCTTCCGTGCTGTGTAGTAGGAGCCTTCATGGAAGGGGATGGGTGAATTCTTGTCTGATTTTAAACCCATTGTAATACCGGTGGATTCAGAAGCTCACCTGTAACAGTGCTTGTGTTTTGCCTTGGGGAGACAATGGGGAGGGGGTTTAATTGTGGGGAAAATAAGTAGAGGAAGAGAAAATACCCAGTCACTGAAGAGTGGCAGGGAATGGAGTTTCAGCCTAAACTTTGCATTTTCTTGCTCGTATGCTGCAGTATGCATGTCTCTTCAGGGTTTTTCAGCTCAGCTTCCTCTTTTTTCATAGTGATGAGGGGGAAGGGACTCGCCCCACTGATGGGTCTTGGCATTTCAAGCTGTTTCTGAACTAATACTGGGCCAAATGCATCCCTGGAGTTACTCCGCTGACATCGCTAGAATTGTACCAGGAATTAATTAGCCCACTATGTCAATAGGCATGCTGAGAGGTAGGCCCATTTTGTATGGCGACTCCAGTGATAGTTGTGTACTTGTAAGATGTGTGATGTAAATACCCCTAGTTGAAGCTAGGAAATGCTAGCATGGTCGATCATGGCAGACGCTTGCGTGCTGTGCCCATCCTGCAAATGCTTCGGAGCCATTACAGTAAATCTTAATATCAGCAGTCGCTTATGTCTGATCTACGGACCAGCAGGTCATCATAGGTTATGGAGAAGTGGCTGAGTTGGGAGGATGGGGGAGAAGGGCTGATACAAGTTGGGCAAAAGCAACATTTGAAATATATTCCCAAAGCGCGTACAGCTGGGCAGTGTTGACAGAGACGACTCGGAAACCAAAGCCGCCAGATGAACTAGGGGCAGCCGGCAGCAGCGATGGGGTGAAGCTGTTTGTGTCACAGTTACACTGATGGTTCTTCTCAAAGTGCCAGCTCCATCCGAAACAAACAGCCACATCTAGTGCACTGACCTCACCAGCTGCAACAACACAACTGGCCGACCTGTGGCAGAATGCGTGTCACCAGTTGGACTCGACAACAATGAACAGACTCATTAACCACAAACTCCTCTTCTGTTAGAAGCTGACAGCCATTCGGATGTGCACACGTTACAAGAATAGGGTTGGAAGAGCCAGTGCATGATACGGACGACCTGCCTGCAGATCCTCACTTCAAAACACAGACGGGCTTGAGCTCCAGGATCACAGAAGAAAGTCTCTAGTACTCTGCCACTTCCTATACATGCTGACTAGCTTGAAGGTGCGGGGCTGCCAGGGAGGGAAATGCCATCCTAACTGGACACTATGTATAGTGGGTTTCAACAACAGTGACCAACAGTA